CGTGAGAATGCGTGGCGTGGAAAGGCGCGACTAAGAGCCAAGCGAAGTCTGCTGCCGGGTACTGTCACATGTCACCCCACTTTCACTTCCTGATCCTTGGCTTCGCGTCTTTTTGCTTTTGCAAAATCTGCTATCATCCACGGCTTTCACATCACCTACCATAATGGGAAGTGTGATATCACGTGAGATACCCGCCCAGCCTAGCCACTCAGGGTTCGCGAAAATCAGCTGTCAAGCAAATTGCTGCATTCGACGGCTGTGTACAACCTACCCGATTGGGTTCTAGCGAGATACCGCTGTGCTATCCACGACACCATTACTTTCACTGCTCGCCGTGTTCTACGGATATTCAGACCTACCGTAATAGGCAATGTCCATGTTTCTTGTAGCATTCGAAGAGTCGCTCCTCATGGATTTCCTGGTATTGCTAGAACAGGAAATACACTCTGTGATTGTAACATAATATTGTCACAATTTGCTGCAATCGATGATTGGCTTTTTGCATTACCACATTAGGGGTTTCAAGACAAGCATGCTCTTGATCATGGTAAGGTTCAAGCAAAAAGTTGGTTAGTGTTTGGTGAAGAAACACAGCTGTACTTGCAGGTAGGGGTAGGAGGCATAGTGAATCGAGAGTTGCTACGACCAGTAAAGCTACTGATTTGCCTGTTTAGGAGGACGCCAAAGCGTCAAGCCTCAGATGTTTGGCGTGAAAGTGGTGGAGAAAATGATGTTTGCTGGTTAGGAGAGGTATTCGATATCCAAAGCATGACGTGGTTCATTTACGTATCTAGGGTATCTCAAGCACTACCGAAATGCGCCAACTAAGCATGCGTTTCTTTCTTCGCAGCCATCATCTGACGATATGTGTCGATCATCTTTTGACGCTCCTCGCCCAGCGCCTCTCTCTTACTCAAACTACCGGCTGATTTGGGCACGTTTCCAACCTTGGCACCCGCTCCGTTCTTGACCTTGAAAATCTCCCTCGGTACTTTGTCAAACGTTGGTGGCGCATGCACAATATCGTGTAGGCCCTTGCGTTCCTCTCTCTTCTTCTTAAGAGCTTCCCACTCGTCTTCGCTGCCATGGTCTACCTCACCCGCTAGCAATTTGCGCTTGTTCTTCTTTGCTTTCTTCTTCTTGCCGTTCACCGTTCTTGTAGTTTCTATGTCGGCTGTCTTATCCTCCCACATAGCATCCAGCTCGTCTTGCTCCTCTTCAGCCAGTTCCCTAGCCTCCTGCTCCTTTTCCCGTATTCTGGCTTCTTCTTCCCTCCATCCCTTCTGTAGACGCTTGAGATGCCGCTCGTGCTTGGTAACCCTGTGATCGCTGAGACCTGCAATCTTCTTGCCGTTCTTGTTTATACCTGACAAGGGCAACGCTGCGTCGACTCGAGCGCGGAACTCTTGCATTGACTCTCCGGGTTGTATCTTCAGCACATCCTTTGATTGGGTCTGCTCCTCACTCTTGTTATTCGCTTCGTCCTTTTCCAAGTTTTCGGCTGCCTCTTGTTTCTTCTGTTTCTTGGTCTTCACCATGCCATCGTCGAGACCGGAGCGCTTCTTTGCTCCGCCCTTGGAGAACGCCATGAGCCGTTGGAAGGCTTTGGGTGTGTCGTCCGCGCCATATCCATCGATCTGGTTCACCTTGCGCTTCTTGCCTTTGGGTGCTGTGCTGAAGGTGCGCGCTTTGCCGACAGGGAGAGGAGCGGCGTGAACATCGGGCGGAAGATTGAACCTGTTGGCAATAGGTCAGATTACAGTCCATGCTTGGTTAGGCTTGCGAGAATACGTGGTGACGTACTGCGAATCGTCCTTTTCTATGGCTCTGTGTTTGTGAGGCATGATGGATATTGGCTGTAGTGTCGCATGCGACAGGGAATCCAAGCGGCGATGCGTCGATGTCGATGTCGCAAAAAAGTTACGGAGACGCGACAGGGATAATCGGAGAGGTGGGGCTCGGATATCTTGGCACCGCGCGCACGTGGAACCAGGCTTCACCCCACCATTTTTGCGTGTGGAGTTGCTGTGCGAGATGCTGTAGGATGAGGCATAGCATACCGAGCCGGTGCTTGACGTTGCTTAAAACGTCCGGATTACCGCCTCATGTGCAAGCCACAGACTATGGCGCAGGTTCCGACTAGAGTGCTCGAAATTGCCGCACCATGGTGGAAACTGGAACGCAATAAGCTCCGAAGGAGACGCGCAACACGCAGACTATCACTTCTAGGAATACGACGACGCTATGAAAACCAGACGCAGTGTTTCGCAACAATGGCAATATTTGGGCCCCATTGAGACTGCTTCGGACCGATATCATGACAACCGCACGTCCAGGGAGGTGCAACGTGGGAAGGCTCTATCGATACCAGTCCACCGTCACTCACTCAAATACACCACTCAGTGCGCAAGTTTGACAACGTGCTCTTTGGAATCATCGCCCTTTTTCATCACCCGCTACCACCTTCACCTGCTACTTTGCTAGCCTCTCCTCCTCCTGCAGCCAATCATCGTCGCAGGTTGTGTTGCGTGCCCGAACTCGCTCCCCAGGCCGTGCACCAGTTCTCGAACGCAGCTGGGCGCTGGGACTGTCTCAAAGGCTTGCATGTCGATAGCCCGCACTCTATCTTCGCGGTTTGCAGCTCGTTTCGCAGGTGGACTGGCCGGCCACACTTCGTCTCGCAATAAATAGCGTCGGATCCCAATTGATCTTGACTGCTCCAAAGTCTCACTCCCTCTACCAAGCATTATCTGGAACTTGCAGACGTTCACCCAGGAAACTGGACCCTGCGTTTGCGCGACTTTGTGCACTGAACCGCGGAGGTGCATGGCGCCAGTCTAGCCTCCCCCGAACTCGAGGACGGGACAATAGCCACTTGGGCAGTCTGGATCGCCAGTCAACAACTCGTGGCGTCTGGGAGCGACAGTCGAAGAGGAAGGTGTCTTAAGGCAGCGTGCGCCTTGGTTTCGAGGTGCAAACTCCAGCGAAGACCTTTGAACGTCTTAACCTTCCGTCGCAACCTCTGACAACAAGTGCACCGCACATATCGATATCGCTTGCACTTGCCCCACCTCTTAGGATCTAGGATCGCGGCCGTGCCAAATCTCCGCCTGCAATTGGCTCGTGCCTGAGAATGGCCGCCGAAACACCCATCTCCCCCACCATTCAACCTCTCCTACGTATCTCTCTCGACTTGGAGGCTTCCTCCTTCGATCCAAAATTATCACATGTCTCCTTGCGCCAGCTAGAAGATGGTGACATCTCGATCTTCGGTTCCGATGATGAGGAGTTAGGTGCGCGGCCCGGGTTCTGGCGACGGCTAAAAATGAGCATTCGAAGGCGGAATGGGAAGTCGGGGATTGACGAGGGTTTCGGGCGTGTGAGGCTACCGGATGAAAAGACGCAATCGAAGAAATATCGATTGAAGAAGAAACATGCCGCTAGAGCCTGTGTTATAATACCACTGCTGGTGCTCATCCTCTTGTAAGTGCCTGTCAGACATTAGCTTCCGCCGGTTCCGGTGCGAGATATCCTGTCAGCCTCTCATTCGACAGCCACTCGGCATTTGTGCAGCTGTCATCCTGTCATGTTCTCCAGGAAGAAGCATCAGTATGCTGACTATCTTAGTGGTGTCCTACACATTGTTAATGTGTTCCTGGGCTACGTGCCTACCTTCTTGGATGATCACATAGTCTCTACGTTTGACTGGAGCCAACACGACAAGTCGGATCTGTTGGACGTCACGCGCGACGTTACTCCGGTCCAATGCCACTCGCATAATGACTACTGGCGCAGGGTTCCGCTATACGACGCCCTACGTTGGGGTTGCACAGGCGTAGAAGCCGATGTCTGGCTATTCGACGAGGAGCTGTACGTCGGTCACAACACTAACGCCTTGACGCGTGATGGCACCTTCACGTCGATGTATGTCGATCCTCTGGTAAAGATGCTGGACCACAGAAACGAGTTCGGAGACTTTGCGACCACGTCCAGCGTCAAAAATGGCGTGTTCATCACTGAGCCTGCACAGACCTTAGTCCTGCTCGTGGATTTTAAGAACAACGGCCATGACATCTTCCCTGTAGTGTCGCAGCAGCTCACCGCGCTACGTGAGAAGGGCTACCTAACCTACTTCGATGGAAACACCACCATCGAGGGCGCCATCACCGTCGTTGCAACTGGTAATGCGCCTTTTGATCTCATCACTGCGAACTCTACCTACCGCGACATTTTCTTCGACGCCCCTCTAGACAAGCTTGAGGAAGGCACTTCCGTTGGTCAGCGCGGCGGTCAAGGTACGGTCGGCACAACCCCTAGCTCGCACTTCGACAGCACGAACTCCTACTACGCCTCTGTCAACTTTGGTAAATCGATCGGTACGTTGTGGTTCGGTCGCATCACGGAGGCCCAGGTCCTCAAAATCCGAGCGCAAATCAAGAGTGCAAAAGAGAGGGGCTTACAGGCGAGGTACTGGAGCGCGCCCAAGTTTCCGATTGGACTTCGGAACAGAGTATGGAAGCTGCTTGTTGAAGAGGGTGTCGGATATCTGAATGGAGATGACCTGCAGGGTATGACAAGGTTAGATTGGGGTGCCAAGCGACACTGGGGCTTGATTGTTTGATTGACAGTGTCGTGAAAGAAGAAGATGGGACGAGAGTGGAGATGATGACATGATTTTATGTGGCATGTACGGCGTTACAAGGGAATCCTTTTTATGTTTGCAACATCTTAGCTTTTGATGGAATATGCTGAAGATACCCGATAGATGAGACAACAATACCATCTTTCTTATACATCGGATAATCATACGTGTGTGTTTATTTGACCGAATGATGAGAGCGTAATCAAGGAGTCATATATACGTATCCAACAAAAACCAACAGAGTAGTGAAGTCGTCAACATCAACAAGGAAGCTGCTTTTTTCGCTTCACAGCAACGCCAATAGCGCCATACAGTCTATACCCAGCAAGAAGTCTCGCCACTCCGTCATTTCTGGCATCTAAAACATACTCCAGCCCTTCTTCCTTCGCTCATCCCTCTCATATCTGTCATCTCGGCCGCGTCCCATCATGCGCTTCTCTCTTTGTTCTAGTTGACGCAGACCCTCCATCTCCTTGAGCACATGTTCGAGGAGATCCTTGCGACGCACCACATCAAGATGACGCTTGATCTTGGGATCTTCCTTGGCGAAACGGTCGATTTCTTCTTGGGAGAGGCCGCGACCTAGACGGGCATCGAGCTCACGTGGGAACTATAATATCGTCAACAATGGTTGTGTGAGCAAGGGCTAAGATTATTGCTTACAATGTAGTAGAACTTGCTTAAGAGCTCAGCGTCGAGGAAAAGGTCAGCAGTCGTCGTGAGCTTATCAGCAACAGCATCGAGGAAGACTTCTGGGCAGTGGTATTTGTTCTTCTTGGTGGCGCATTGCTTGCTCTTGATAGCCATGAGGCGCAGCTTGAGCACGTCGATACGATCGCGGAGGAAGACTGCTTCTCGACCTGTGATTTTGTCAGTTTCGAATACAAACAAGCTATTGCTACAGATAAGATAGACATACCCTTGGCAAGAAGTGCGGAGCTGAAGCCACCAGCACCACCGACTCCGTCGCCTTCCAGGACAACTTGTCCGCCGCGTACGCGATCGATAAATGACATTACGTCCCGGACCCTCTTGCGGCCACCGACCTGTTCTTCGAGCTGCTTAACGGCGGCTTCAACAGTCTTTAGTTCATCCTTGAGCACGGCAGTGACGTTCTCCCGGCCCTTTGCCCACTCATTGTCCTCAACTTCGATGCGATATTTGTAGGGCTTGATGCAGATTTCCAACTCATCAGAGATGTCGTAGGAAAGATCTTTAAGGATGGAGGTTGAAGCATCAGTGATGGCTTGTCGGGCGAATGGATGAGCTGCGAAGCGAGAGTTCGTGATGAGGCGATCGATGTGTGCCTGGAGTGCGCTTGCGACAACGTTCGTTGCCAGGCGTCCAACACCGGCCTTGGTGAGCGCAGCGCTCGAGCTATCGAGCTTGATTTGCCAAATTTGGTCTTCCCCATCAATATCGGCTTTGGCCAAATTTGTAAGAGGATCAGTCTCGGGGAAGGGAACGCTGAGATCATCGAAAGGCCTGTTCCAGTAGCGTTGTGCAAGCAAATTAAGCACTTGCTGGTCAAGCTCATGCTTCAGCAGATCGCGGACTTGCTGGCGACCGAACTGCTCAGTAAAACCACGGAAAGAGTGCTTGAAAGCATCTAATGATTCTGCCAGGTATGACTCTGCGCTGATAGGTCGCTCGTTGTACTGAACCTTGAACTCGTAACGTGCATCTTCGAGCTCCCTCTGGATAGCCTCGCTTGTTGTCTTGAGGCTGCCAGCCATTGTCTGCTCGAGCACGTGCATGAGCTTCTTCTTAAGGTTCTGAGTGCCAACGGCGAGCTCTGATCCTTCCGAGAACTCGGGATGCGAGCCGAAGTATGCCTTTTCGTTCTTCGTAATCGCGTTCGTGATGTTGCCGTTGCCGCGACTGAAGAGCTTGGAACCACCAGCGCCGGCTGGCACTCGGCAAACAACACCGACGTATCCTAAACGCAAAGCATACTTTTGATCGCTGAGCAGACTGGCACCACGTTCAGCATCTACAAGGTCCATCTTTGTAATGACACCAATGGTCCTCTCGCCCCGGGGGTCCATCCTGCGAGACGCTCGCAGTGCGGTGCTGTTGGCCAAATCCACGTCAGCTGCCGAGATGGCGAGAATGACGTTGGGTGCCTTGATGTATTTCTCGCACAGCTGCGATATTTTCTCCTTCAGCTGTGGGGGCTGGTCTCGACCAACGACTTGGATGTAGCCGGGCAGATCGATCAGGGAGAGATCAGGAACGTTGGGAGAGTAGACTCGTAATTGGATAGGGTCGTCAGACACACAGTCGCTCGCCGGCACAGCGAGGTTCAGGTCTGTCAGTGTCTTCTGTACCTGACTGAAGTCTGTGACCTTTCCAAGACCGAGGGCAGGGAATTCGCAGTACTCAGCGTGCGCCTCTGGCGTATTGACAAGTGTGAGCTCGATAGGTCGTCGTGTGACCATGTTGTGTCCCTTTGGCAAAAATTCGTGGCCGACGATGGCTTCCAAGACCGAACTCTTTCCAGACGACTGTGATCCGATAACGACGATAGACGGCAGTGTGAGGGAGTCAGACTGTCCTACCGTCTGTAGAAGCCCGCGGATCTCGATCATCTTCTTAGTGAGCATCATCATCTGGTCGTCTCTTGCAATCTTCTCCGCCTGCGGCCTGTCCTCGTCGTCTTCCTGAGAATAGCCAAACGCTGCTGCTGTTGACGTACCGGCAGCAGCAGTGCGAGCACCCCCTTGCTTGGGGTTCTCTGGCCCTCTCCCACCGCCGTTACCGTTGTCGCCTCCTGCACCACCAGATTCGTCCTTGGCAAGCAATCGCTGTAGCCATTCTGGTGCCTTTACGCCCTCAAATTCATCCTTGGTCGACTTGAACCCTTTTTCTAGCTGGTCGAAGAAGCCGTTTGCCGTGCGGAGGGCCCCGCCAGCAATTTCGGTCGCGCCGTTTTTGGTTCGGTGGAAGAGATCGAGTGCGAATGTTCCCGCCTCTGTTTGATGTCAGCTTTCCGATGCAGATGGTCCTTCCTGTATACGTACGGCCGGCTTGGTACTGGATGTAGGAAACCCCTGCGACGACAGCCCCTCCAGCAGCCGCACCCACGGTCGCGAACTTGCCCACCAGCTTTGGTATCACCCTGGCAAAAGAGATGGACCGTGTGGCGGGGATGTTGTGCAGCGCGTAGCTACCGAGCGGCCATGGTCGTCGCTTCACCAGCCGCAAGCCGGCTTCATTGCGGAGGAGTCCACCGGCAGGGAGGGAATGCGTCGTGTAGAAGCGTGGAGTGAGCAGCGGTGAACGGCGTGCGATGGTGGAAAGGCGGCCCGCGACGAGCCTGCCGCTCATATTGACGACAAAAAGACCACGTGAGGTCTTTGGTATAGCATAGGATCAGACAGGCTAGGTGGTTGCGAAGGTTATACGAGCGTTCGAGGTGCGGCTATGCACGTCACACATCGACTTTTGGTACGCGGTTGGCGGCCATGGCCCAAGCACCTCGGCGTGGGGCTGCAAGTACATGGACAACACATGCAACACGACAGCATCGAGACACGACATGTGACAAATTTTCTCGTCGACAGATCTACCTGGACCCGGGTATCAATGCTCCATAGCCTCACTTTAGACACAGAATCGCCCTTTCCCCAAATGCATCTAGCAGCGATCCTTCTTCCTTGATCATATCCCTTAACCAGTTCCGTGATCCTTCCACTTCCCTGCTTGCGAACTTGACCAGAACAAAACCCCTCACGTTTGCAGCACTCCATACCAGGCCATCACTCCCCTCTCGCTGTTGCCTCTCGTATCGCCTCTGCTCGTGTGCTTGAAGCTCAGGCTGCACGACGTCGCCCCAGTTTCTTCCTCCAATACGCGGTAGTGCCTCGAACTCGTCCAGAAAGAATTTGGCTACTGACGAGAAGATTGGACCGCGAATGATCAAAGTCCCAAAAACGGAGTAGTTATCCATACGAGAGGCGAGTGGCATTCTGGTCTTGCCATGCTTGTTCAGAATGAGATTGTCTCGTAGAAGTAGTCTTTTCTTCCCTGCATCACCTACAGTCCACACCTCGTTCCGACTCTTATATTCATATATATCCCAATTTTCTCCTCGTGCTGAACGGCCACTCGTCACCCAATCGCAAACGCACAAGTTACCCTGCTCTTTCTCCAAGTGATAGACTTGAGACTGGGAGAACGCTGTGTGTGCAAAAGGTTGCACAGGATCCGGGAGATAGACTAACGCAGAATCCTGCTTGAGGTATGTGTTCATATGCTGTCGGGAGACTAGGTCTGGACTTGGGGTTTTGAAGATCTTAGTCGAACCTTGGGTCAACAGTATCAGCCGTGTACTACTGTCTAGTTTGACGTCCAAATCTATGCTATCTCCAGCAACAATTCCTCCACCATAAGTCAACAGGAAGACTGTGTGAATGAGGCAAGGTACTCCTGTTGTTGTATTGCGGTCCACTTCTCTGTCATAGTTGGGTGGTGCTAACGGATCTGGCGCAACTAGCTTAAGGGGATACTGGTAGGATACAGTTCGAAGGACAGGTTTATCCGGAGGAAGTATCTCGAGGACGATGGATCCATGGCCGGGTTTCGATGTTGATGTACCGAAGGGAGAGACGAAGAACATGACGGAGTGCTATCGGAGCTTGAAAATGTTCATCTTCTACAATTTCTGGCTCTGAATATATACAGTGGTCTACCAAAACGGCGATGTTATGAATGCTGCGGAGCCATAGGTAGCGCGGACATAGATGCGCTTAACTGAACAGTAGTTCTCTTCGTTGAAGACGTGGACGACAGCTATCAGATAAGTGCACTTACCATATCAATTAGCGTGAGCGCGGGCCGCGTTGCCAAGACCCGACGCGGGGCAAGATTCTTTCTCTCTTAGGCGCCTTTTTGCAGCTCCCAACCCCGCTAAGCAGCCAGAGTATCGACCGATTCGACAGCAATCTTTTTTTGCACGCGTTCGAAACCCGCCATCAACAGCTTGCATCATCTACCGCAAGAGCGCGTTAGAATTTTTGCTACATTCGATACCAACTTTCGCGATCCAAGGCATTCCCAGTACCAGCTGCAGCCACTCACATCTCGATCTCACCCTAGCATCTTCCACAGTGCGCGTTCGAATCGCCGCCTCGCCACTTTTTGACATGCCTTAAGCGCGTTTCCTTGTATTCGCATCACGCTGCCCGAGTTGAAAGGGGACGGGTGAGAGCACCATGGCGACGGGCTACGACAAGCTGCTGGAATTTCTGCTGTCAGAAATTGCACTCCGAGGCGTACAAGGTATGCATGACTCGTTGCACGTGTAGTTGTTGCTTCCATCCGCGCACTGGCCCTTTCGAGCTACTCGACGTTGTCAATTTCCATGAGCTACAACGTAATTTGGCTGGGAAGTGAGATTGTTGCGCTCCCGTCATCTTGGCCGTTGCGCTGCTCATAGCGTCGCTTTTTCGAAATCAATCTACCACTTCTTGGGTACTAACGCGTCTTCAGGTGCTAGCAGCGCAGACTTTCGTCACTTTATTGATGTCTTCTACAAACAGGCCGTCGACAATGATGAGCCTGCAACCAGCAGGAATGGCCAAAGGGATGCTCCATCAACCGGGCTTGGCCGCGCGTTCTATGAGCGCCTATGGCAATGGCTCACTGATCATTCCGATATTCGCATAGTCTACCAGCAGGAGGTTCGTCAGTTCACTCTTTCCGAATTCGAAGCGGCTGAGCTACATGAGACCGGTACGATCGGAGAGACGCATTCAACAAACCTGAACCAGTCGCCCACCAATACAATCAAGGGGATAGTGCGGCCTTCTAAAGCGCTATGTGGTCTAAAAGACTCTCTACGCCAACGCATCCTCGAAGACGGATACGACCAGAAAGAACTTGTGACTCTGCCGTCTGATACTCTAGCTCACATGCCCATATCAAGACCAATTCGCAACCTACCAAGCGAAGCGTCTCGCACCACGGAAGCCTTCGATGAACCCGACTCTAGTATCACTGCCCCTCGCTTGTATGCCAGCCAAAGCAGAGTTTGGCAGGCGCTTACAGGTCACGGTATTGATTTGAAGAAGGTTCCCAGCATGGAATTCGTATTGCTTTCTCTCATTGCTGCTCGTGGAGCGGCTGGTATCACACAACCTGAATTGATCAACATCAGCGGGCAAGACAAGAGGTCTGTCCCTAAACGAACAGACGAGTTGGCTCGCAAGAACTACATCGCCAAGATTTCTGTTCAGTCAAACAAGATGCGCACTAGTCTCTGCATCCATGCCAAGTTTGTTTCTCAGAACACGTTTATCAAGTCTAGTGCCATGGAAGACGTGTATCAAGAGGACGGTACATTTGTGGTTAGGAACTTCGCTCAACTGTTGTACAACGTTGTTGGTCAAGGTGGTATTGTACCCACGCGGTCAATCAGGGAAAAGCTCGTAAGTCTGTTGCCCTTATGCAATGGTGTAGCTTCTAACAGTGAGTAGGAGGTACCCATGTCTCGATGGAACAAACGAGCTACGCAGGGCGCACTCATCCGACTCGATCAAAGCGGAATGATTAAGCGACGTAGAGTTCTCAAGAAGGCATCTTCCGACAAGTGGATTACTTGCATTCAGGTGCTGCGCGAACCCCAGGAGGAGGACCTCAAGAACCTTGGTTTTCGACGCGTAGCTGACCTTCCGAATGACTCGGTCGACGAGCTTCCAGATGAAGATATTAATGGCGAGTCGCTGTTGAAGGATCTCGATGCAGATATGCCAGATGACGCAGACGCCAATGTGGACAACCATGTCAATGCTAAGCCGGTTGCCAATAATGCTGATAGCGTTCCTCCTCAGTGGATACCCGACCGCTTTCTTCCTAACATCATCTTCAATGCCACGGCTCTGGGCGGTGCTCAGGGATGGGACGCTGAGGCTCTGCGCAATCGGATCGTTGGCCCTTTCTGGAGGCGCCCGATCGAGTCATATTTAGTTCGTGTGACATGCGACTGGGAGAAGACACAACCTATTCATCTACGACATCTAGCAGTCATTCGAGATGCGGGTACTACCAAGCCCAAAAAGTATATTCATTACCTCTACCGCACATACGAAAATTTTCAAAAAGCTGTCGAGGCGAAGATAGCTGTCTGGGAGGGTGTTATGGTGCCTCAAGAACCTGGTCAGAGTTCGGATAACGAGCTTGTCCTGGATGCGTGGGGGTTTCCAACTGTCAGTGCGGAAGATTTGGTTCGGGAGACCGGTTCGGCAACACTATCTGAGGCGGGGTCAGCCCTCGTGAAAACGCGGGAGAATGGCCCACGATGGGACAACGCAGTGGCGGAGGAGGCCGGCTACAAGAAACTCGCAACGTCCATTCTGAAGGTCAAAACACCAGGCCGAATCAAGAAACAGAAAGTCACCAAAGAGAAGCCCGTTCGGACGTCGAAAGCCCCCAAAGCTTCTAGGAAACGCCCGACTATCATGCTAACACCTGAGGAGAAGACATCGCTAGGGCTTGATGGTGATGCCCGGTTGAGCAAAAGCGTCCAGGCCCAAATCCTCGCCCATCGTCAGAAAACAGGTGACCCGTTTTCTCTGCCTGATGCGATTGTGGATAATCGAGCAAAGCGTCAACTACCTCAGCCACTGCTGACAACAGAGGAGCGGTTGGCACTAGGATTGGCAGCCAAAGGGCGCTTGGGTATCGCGACAGAGAACGAGATTCGGGCAAAACGTGGACTACCCCAGCTAGTGAAAAAGGAGAAGAAGCAAGTGACAAAAGCCACGAGCGAACCTACTGTCCTCAGCAAGTCGCAGAGGATAGCTCTGGGCTGGACAGATCATGGTCGGTTACCGCAAGCGATCATAGAAGGCTTACGCCAAGAGCGCGAAGATGGTATCTCCGTGAAAGATTCAAAAGTCATTGCGAGCTGGGACACAGAAATGAAGCGCAGGAAAGAGGAAAGTGACAAGAAAAAGGGCGCTAAACCCATCCCGAAGCAGACCAACCTAACAGAGGATCACGATGTGTCTATGGAGAATCCGGACGCTGAATATACGCCTAATCCTGCCGCTGTGGAACCCGAGGCTGAGATTCTGTCGTCCAATATCATCACAGGGAAGCGAAGGGCGGAAGACTCTGTCATCACTCCAAAGATGTCAAAGAGGCGACGTAACAGAGACACTGTACCATACAGGTCAACCTCAAGATCTATGACATCAATGTCTCCCTCGCCCACTGATGCAACAAGTCCACTGGAAGACGGTACTTCAGTGGCCTGTCCAGATGAAAGCCGTACCGATGATACAAGCCAATCGACTTCGGCGCAAGCCATTCAACCTGTCCTGGCAACACCTTCGCCAGTAAGAGATTTTATCTTCCCAAGCGTAGAAGCCAAACAGTCTCCAAAACATGTAACGACGAGGATATATGTTCAACCCGATACCTCGAAATTGGATGCCTATGCTCGAATAGCCTTCGATCAGTACGAGAAGCGTCGCGGCCCAGGTCTCTTTCTCAATCCTTATATGAAGCAGAAGGTTGCTCGAGGCCGACCACGCAAGGCTCTAATGGCCACCTTCAAGCTACCGCATCTAGCAGACTTTGAATGGTTTACATTGGAGTCGGTTCAGGAGCAGGCCGTAGACCGAATTGACCCTACTGCTACTTCTGAAGCTGGGGGCATCGTCATTGATCAGCAGAATGATAACGTGGTCGAACCGCATCGAGAACTTCCAGTCGGGATATCACCCGAGGCACACACGCAGGTGCATTCACTGGTCAACTCGGAGGTTTCTGGTTCACGACAAACGCCTTTCGCTGAAAGAAGGTCACGATCCTCAGTGCAACCCCAGTCACCGAGTGTCATAGAGTCACAGGATATTGTTGTGGATCGCGAAGTGTCATCTCTCCCTACCAAAAGCTCAACTTTGTCGGAATGTGGAGCATCGCAAGTCGGCAACGAGGTTAGTAGGGCAGAAGCATTATCGTCCGTACCCGAATCCACTATTGCTGAAGACAGGGACGCCAAGCCGACAACAACTGCAAACGACACGATCGTTGAAGAGCAGGTCAACGCTGTTTCTGAAGTTGCACTGAGGCGGTCACCACCGAAAGTCTCACCAACACCACGCATGGTAGGCGGCTGGGCTCCCATCAACGCGACTGAGCGCTCCCGCACGACACCTTATCAGAGCCCTTATGCTGCCATTGTAGGCTCAGAAGCTCGTCCATCACCAGATACTCCGACTAGTACCCAGATTGGTGAAGAACCCACCCTCAGCACCGCCGAACCGGCACTTCCTACTCCTGGGACCGAAACCGGCACTTCCCCTCCCGATGCCATTCATAGCTTCATTGTAGAGACTCCAGCACCTAGTGTTCCAGGCACCAAGCCCAGGAAAGCTCAAACCGGTGGTATAACAGGCACTCAGCGCGCGCTGAGGCAAAAACTTATCGAGAAGATCATCGACACATGCCATGGTGTTTTCCCTGGTGGTGGTGAGATGTCAAGACCATTTCTTACGCTTTGGAAAAAAACGTACCCAAATATCGCAGAGCCTTCAATTAGCACTATTACCGAGACACTGAGGAATATGTCAGCAGACCCGCGATTCAGGCTGAAACATTGGACTTTTGCTTCGCAGCACAAGAACATGCCAGGTACTGCGACCAGAAGGATGTACACACGGGCACATCTGAACGAGAGAAGTCCTGAAGTCCTCAAGTTGGCGCACAACATGGCGCAATATTCCCAGCAAAAAGAAAACGTTCACCGTGTGTCAGAGAAGTCACTCTTGTATTACCCAGAGGAGATCCGCGATCTGATCGGCGAGGTTGTATCATACCAACCAATCCAAGCTGCTCCCAAGGATGAGAGCATCATTCTCAATCAGCTAAATCCTGAGCTAGAAAAGCAAATCACTGAAGCCAAGCTTCGAAAGCGCAGCATATGGCAGAAACAGAAAAGGCTGGAGGCCAAGGCTCGCAAGACCCAGAACGCTCAGGTCGAACAAGTATCTTCTAAGCAGATTCGAGACAGTAGCGGTGGGCTGCATACAAAGCGGGCGCGACTTGCTAGTTTAAATGATAAGAGCAAGAAGCTACGTCGTGCTCCTCTGTATGCTGCCAGCATGGGAGCTTTTGACGAAGACTCCGACGACGTGGCAGATGATGAACCTGCCGCCAAATCTGGACAGATCTCGCTCATCTGGACTCGACCCATCGTCGCGCCTGTTCCGGAACGCGAGCAACTTTCCGATGATGAGCCGCCTGAAGACGATGAGAGCGATGAAGAAGTAACTGACTGGGTCGCGCAACAGGCGCAAAGCAACGCTGTAGATGAACAGATCCCGCTGGATGTAACTCAGTCCATCGTCGAAGAATCTTCCAACAATGCGACTGCTGCGGAGCCTGATTCTGCCAATGTTGGAAACTCTGGTCCCCTGGCCTCTGATGGGAAGTCTGCGGACGAATCTGCTGCCGTAGAGAAGGGCAAGAAGCGAGTACGGATCATAGCTCCGCGCGACCAGTCATCCAGGAAGAGAACCCGTATCAACCCAGCAACATCTACAACAACGCAAGATGTGGAATCTACCTATCACCCTGGTACGGATGATGATGCACGATCTGCTTCGGAGATAGACGACGAGTCTGAGGGCAGCGACAACGCTGTACATTCCAACACGAAGAAGCGAAGGATGAGAAACTTCCATGGACGGCAACGAGGCAAGCCGGGTCCTCCTCCAACCTTATTGGAACGCCTCACTGGTCTAACTGGTGATCCAAACGATCCAATATACCAGCCCCCGCAGCGTGTACCTAGACCTGAAAAATCACCTCGGTCATGGAGCGAGCGGAAGAGGATACGCATCAACAGGTTCAAGAAGGAACGGCAGTATACTCAGGCTACGGACTCGCTGGATGATTTCAAAAAGCTCTTCTATACTTTCATCGTTGTTTCTTCTCTATCCGGAGAGGACGGGCAGATTGACTGGAGACTTTTTAAGAGGATATACGACAGTAACAGATTCTTCGATTTGGCGAAGACCAAGAAGCTTTGGGACTGGATGCAGAAGCACATGTCTGAGCAGGTTTTTGAGCTTACCACTGCCTTCCAGTCGCTTTATCTTGAAGCTTACGAATCTGGCAAAGTCGCAGCTATTGAGAATCCTGAGACGCACGATTGGACGGGTCTGGTACGATGGGCCATGCGAAAGTGTGCCTACCCAGATCTTCCTCTCCCCGTCTTGAGGCAAGCACTGCAACAGTTCACTGTTGATGAGTCAAAATACGAGATATTAGATCGTGTGCTATGGTACAAAGCTGCGACAGCAGATCGAACGAGGACAATGCTTCAGCTACAACAATCCTTTACTGCTCCACTCCATCGATCGCGTGAGGCGATCTGGTCACCTGATGATAAGCTTCTCAAGGCACGATCATGGATTCGCGCGAACACAGCTACGCCGCAGGCGCTTTATGATGCGAACCTGGCACACGAGAAGTTCAAAGACATTGGTGAGACTGTGTTGGTCAATGTTGTGGGTGATCTCGTGGACAAGCAGCATCTCAGGATGCGCAAGCTCAAGCGCCTCCTACCCGGCCGCAACTATAATTTCACGCAAGCCTTGGCAAAGAAGTACACACGTTTGTTCCAGCTCGACGACTTCATGAACGCCGTTAAGATCAAGAAAAAGATGGACGCTGCGTTTGCAGACGATGATCCAGGACGGAGATTTTACAACATGTCACGCTGCGAAGAAGATGGCGCTTTTGCAGCAATCATGACCATGGTAAACGAGGGGACAGTTAAGCTAGCTCCTCAGCTACCACCTGTCAACAACGAATTCGACGCCTCGCTCCCAAAGCTGTCTGTTTGGGGCTTTTGCGAAGGCGGCTACAACCACCGAGCTATAGACAGAAGCCGTTTGTTCTGGGACATTCATGTCGTGCCGACAGCAGACTACAAGTTTGGTAACCCACTGCAGCCGTTGTCCACTCCGCTCCCGCCTATGCAGGACGAGCCTGCGGTCTGGCGGGCTCTACCTGAGCCGCCTCTTCCTGGCAAACACGATGCTAGCGCACTGCTACCCATTTGGAGCAGTATTGACGGCCAATCCGTTACATGGCCGTGGTGGTACCGGGTTCTGAACTTGGTGCTACAGCCCTTAATCTTCTTAGCTGGCGCAACCGTTACCGATATTCACTCACATTGTCCTGAGCATACCACAGAGCTATTTGAGATTCAGCTTGTCTTAGACTGGCTTGAGTCCACCAAGGTAGTCACCAAGACGGTTGGCGGCGGTTACATTACCCTTCCCGGATTTTGGGCTGCATTCGGCGACCAGCTGCGTGATACGGAAGACGACTGGTTTGGCGAGCATGTCAAGCGTAAAGCGAAGAACCACGAGAAGCAGCGTTGGCGCGTCGATTACAACTTGAGGCACTCAACGTTACAAGCGCGTAAGGTAACAGGCGCTGACGCTGCCCCCGTCGAGGGAGAAGGCGATGCGAATGATCCGGAGGCTGGCGCCGTGGAGACGAGCACGAGTCGCGAGATTCTCAAGAACCCGAAACAACAGTACAGGATCATACACCAAGCCCTCAACTCTGAGCAATCTCAGGCAGAGGAGGACCGGTCAGAAACCATACCTCCTTCCGGCTCTGCGACTCCACAAACCGAGCAAGTACCAACTCCAGACCCGACAGTAAGCAAATCTCACACGCCCGAGGCCACGGGTGCGCCCATTGATAACGTGGAGATGGCGGACGCAGACGTGGATGCTGAAGGCGAGGAGGACATTGATGCCGAAGGCGAGATCGACGATGACATATATTGAGCAGGTGCGTCCGCACGCGTGATGGGTGATGCGCACGGGGCGGTATGGCAGATAATGGTGAGGTTGTTTGTTTTCCCAAAAGTTTGTCTTTTTACATGCATAGCGAGGCGCGTATTGTGGAATGATACCACGATCTGAGAAAAGGCTGCAATGCCAAAGATCCTGTACAATAGTCAGACAAGTACGAGTAATGCGTAAAGCGGTGCTATCGATGGGGGATCTCTTAGAGGCGTAGTCTGAATGTGCAAGGTGATGACGTGCACGCAATACGTTCCATGGATATGCGACATTTCTACTCAGCAGCGGATCGCATATGTTACTAACACAGAGGGTAGCTATAGACGTTATTATACATATCCGCATACAAGTATGAGCCTATGATCAAAGAGCGAAACACTATCAGGACTTGGGAGAATTCCGAACAAGAGCCAATGCGGTGCTATATAGTGCTTTTCTCCTTCGTCTTCTTCTTTCGCCCATCAAACGCTTCGCAAATAAGTTCGTTCCTGTTCAGACTCAACCCAACACGTCAACAGACATGAGCTTCTTAGCATGTATGACTCTCTCCTGTTATTTGTATATGCCCATTACTAGACCTACCATGGATCATTCCCTCATGATGTCAACTTAACGCAATACCTACCAATGTCGAATATTGTGTTTTTAGACATGATCGAGACTCAAATATGGTTTACGCTAGACTAGCGTATTTTGCGTGACACGCCTTCTCTCCATCCAGCACAGCCTCGCAACTCGACTTCCATCAACTACATCGTATTACATTACATTGGGCTGCAAGTCACTATGGCCTCAGTCTGCTTACATACGTATAAGCAGGCGACAGTACCACTTCTTGCCTGAACAGGCAGTAGCAAACGTCACGATGACCGGAAGTCTATATGCGGTAAGTTTAACGAATGATTATGTCTTTTAATCTACATTCTATCTACATCTACAGTATCGAATGTTCTTCAACCGCGGCTCTTGTTGATGCTCGCCGCCTTCTCACCAATAGCATACATTGTTGATTGAATGTGTTGAGAGGGGATGAGAGGCATAATAGAGGCATCAATGATGGACAGGTTCTCGACGCCATAGAAGAGAAGCTTATCAGAAACACAGCCACCCATCTCTTCCGGCATCATAGGGCAGCTGCAAGAAGGATGCGCGAGCGACGGTGTAATAGCTTGCGACTGAATCGAAACATTAATAATGTCTTCATTGCTTGTGTACTGAGGGCCTGGCGCAAGCTCTACAGGCGAAAACTTCGCAAGCTCTGGACGAGCCCAGACCTGTCGAATCCAGCGCACGGAAGATGCGAGAATAGCCTTGTCGAGGGGATTGCTCATAGCGTTGTACAGGATGACTGGCGGACCTTGGGGATTGGCAGGGTTGATCATAATTGTGCCACGAGAAACCGGCTTCTCAAGAGCGACGAGCTCGTACGAACCAGATGCTGGGATCGCGTATTCCGTCATACCAGCCTCGGGGTTCTGATACAGACCAGCGAGAATCTTCCGCTGAGCGCGAACACCCTTCAGCAGCTTCTTGTTGTTCTTGTAGATGGAAGGCAGATATGCATCATCTTTCTGACCCGTCAGTTGCTTGGCAAGGCTTCGGTACCTCTTAGGATCAATTTTGGGAAGTGGGATAAAAGCCAGACTGTTGCCTCGTGCCAGTGTCAATGGTCCTGTCCTGTTTGCGCGGTATTCTGCCCACGCTGAAGCGTTGAAGGCAGGATCGGTATCCAGAGAAGTCGGGTTGGGTGTGCTCATATTGGAAATGTTGAATACGACACCCATATACGGGTGGTCCTGGAAGTTTGAACCAACAGCGTCGTTCTCAAGCTTCACGGGAATACCGGCAGCCTGAAGGACAGACTTTGGTCCGATACCACTAACTTGGAGAAGCTTCGGGGTGTTGAATGCACCCGCAGCCAGAATAACTTCTTTCTTCGCATAAACGACTGAGGTCGTGTTCGTCTTCTTATTGGTAATCTTGACACCCTTCGCAGTGAGTTTCCTACCGCTGTCGAACACGAGCTCCGTGGCAAGTGTATCCAGAAGAACATTCAAGTTCGAGCGAGTCGAAACAGGTTCATAGTAAGAGTTACGAGCGTGTGATCTTTCGCCAGTCTCAGGGTTCATTGTGTTGGCCCACCATGACGCGCCATACGCATCTCCGTTGTTACCGTCGAGTTGCATTTTCGCGCCCGCACCCTGGAAGGCTTTGAAGTAGTCCTTGGTGTCGGGATACTGGAAGTCTGAGATACCGATCTTCAAAGGACCGTTCCCGTAACTGATAGTGTACGTTAGCGAGGCTGGAGCATTGAAAAGAATACGCTAACTTACGCCGTAGGATCCCAGGTTATGTTGAACTCTGCTGCTACATCTGCCGGTGGTGGGATGAACGTTGTGCTCTTCTTGTAGAAGGGGTACATGCCACTCCAACCCCAGCCCTTGTTTCCTAGCGCCTCCCACGCATCGAAGTCGGCAATTGAACCGCGATCATACGCCATGCCGTTCACGATAGAACCACCACCAAGTACCTGCGCTGCGAGACCAGCATATGTGAGATTAGCGAGGAAAGGCTCTGGTTCGGCAACGAAACTCCAAAAGAGTGTTGTGTTGATTGGATAAGTGGCGGCGTAGGGCAAGCGGATGTTCATGTTGTCATCAGCGCCGCCAGCTTCGATGACGAGAACACTCTCTATGAAATAAGTCAGCATTACTGAAGCTCTTGGAAGCTGTCACTGAGTTCGAAGGTAACCGCTCAACCGAGCTTTCGGCAACCTCCAATACGATGAGTGACTTACTCTTCTTGTCTTCAGAAAGACGATTTGCAGCTACAAGCCCAGAAATGCCGCCACCAACGATCACATAGTCGTATGTGTTCTTGCCAGCACGTTTGTGCACTTGAGGGACATGGCTGGGAAGAGCATTGGCAGCGCCTAGCAAGGCGACTACTGCTACAGTCCGTGGAAACATTGCGAAGAAACGTTCCGGGAATTAGGACAAGCGAGGGACGATGTCAAATGACAGTGGAGTGTAGCCATCTTCGCTGAAGTCTCGTGGGCTTATAAGAGAATCTAGGGAGCAAAGATGGCGAGCATCTGCCGTCCTTCCAGTCCCTCGATATGCACGAGTCGTGTGTATACATCAAAGAGTCGCCGCAACGTCCCTTGCAGATGTCGGTATCAAAGCTCCGGCGATAGGCACCAGAATATGAATTCTGGCCACGCGAGAGATCGATAGCCGCGCCACCTTTTCTGCAAAATAGCATGAGCGAGGCCGGTAGACGATGATGAGTTCGCGAGATTGACCGATATGGGTGGCTTCCGGATCCCGTAATGCCTTCCCCCCGCGGACGCCAGCTGCCGTCCCGCCAACCCTATATTACACCGTCGTCCTCTCACTCCAACTTTGTTCAAATCGCAATACACATGGAGAAAACGAGCTTAGATTTGATGTCTGAGAGGACATGTCCATCTAGAGATCTGGCATGGTAAGCTCAGACGTGAAGAGGAAAAATCCATAACATTAACAACGGCTAGCATTCTGAAGGATCCGTTTCCAGTGCGCACCATACGCTAACTACCAGTATGTTGGATATCCGAACACACTCGCCGTACAGGTTTTCATTGGAGGATCGAGGTACTTGCTCCTTCTCTTTCCGTGCGAAATTTGCGCATGAGCGGCGCAGCGTGCAGGATGCCGGAAATACATTGCGGCGTGGTTGCGCCGCATCGACCAACGCTTTCTACAGCGGCTCTTCAAGCAACGCCATGTACTTTCCATCTACCCGGTAATTCGAACCACAATTGTATAGCATGTGCTATCCTTTGAGATTGAAACATGCAATACGAAGTTGGGTAAGCTCACACCAACATAAGCAGGGTCTACAGGGACCCCCCCTACCCCTGTCGGGGGAGTGCGGGGGGAAGGGACGGGTTGGCTGACGGTCGAACATTGCCAGTTCGGCCTACCGCGTCCAATACTCGGCCCCACCGTAACTAGCGCAATGTAGTGGTACTTCAGATGTCACGATCCTTCGTCTCGGACTTATGTACGCTGCAGCAAGCATCGCTCGGGGACGGCTCAGCAAGATGCCATGATCTCTATTTCACATTACGTACAGAAGGGCGTGAACATGAAGCAGAGGACGTATTTGCTTGGATGACAATGCAAAAAGCGAGCAGATCACTAAGTTGACTTGACCACAATTTGTTTACCACCAGTCTCGAAGAAACGAACTGCATTCAAACCCCCACGGGCCTCACCATTATCGGTTGCTCGCTAACCTAGTCATTCAGGTCGCCTTCAAAAGCTCAGATACGATCTCGCTTGTACTTGTGAGAGATTGTCTCAATGCCACCTGGACGACTTTGTGATATGACCAGTAGGTAGCATTCTCCCAGTAGTCACAGGCGAGCCAAGAGATACCACTAGAAATACTCTACTATTTTTACAAGCCATATCCATGGCCATCTGACCCAAGGATTGTTGCAAGTCATGCTATATGCATATAAGCGATTGTCAAATGTTGCGATGGTCTATACTGTTGGTTTTGTGATGTATATCAGTAGCAATGACTTCAGGTGGATGTGAGCGAGGGTCAAGATGCCTGGAATAAATCCTACACGAATGCTGCGGAACGAGATCACCAGATCAAGCATCTGGACCGTGAAAACTTCCTGTTCATGTACGCGGCACAGTTTAATAAGATGTAAGGAGACATAGAACAACGTTCTTGCTATATCACTCAACCACTCACAACAAGCTCCACACGGCACACGATCTAGCGGACCGGGTCGCTAAAGGAATCAAACCACTTGTTCCGTTGCCGAAGTTATTGAAAGCTTAGACTCACAGAACGGCCTCGGGACGCATCCCGTTCGAGACGAGTGGCTGTCACATTGTTGGTGACTGAAGTACGGATGCCCTTGCAGTGGGCTAGTTGAGAACTACCCAGCACCTTGGAAAGCTTGCAGGCGCCAAACGAGCCGCATTCTTTATCAATCATATGTAGCAGTACTCGTGCCATCGAAGTTGGACTTTCTCGTCCTCCATTCACGAATGTTCTCCATCGATTAACTTCCAACATGGCGGATGCGAAGCAGCAAGTGTGGCCGAATCGTGGACTCGAGATCTTGGTCTCAAGTTACATACTCTCTTCACTCAGTATTTGTACTCTTGCTTGGAGGATCGTGTACGGTATCTGAACTAAGCGGAAGCTTTTAATATGCGATTATCTTCTGCTCATCACTGCCGTAAGTCGACGCACGCAATCCATCCCATTGCGAGAGTACTGACAACTATACCTCCAGTCGATGGACATAACCTCAGCGTACGTTCGCTGGAAGATAGTCCAATACGGTCAAGGACGTCACATGGAAGACCCCAGCATAACGCCAGGCGACTTCCTGAATTACAGCTACTATCTCTGGATTATCCAAATCGTCAACTTGATCGGCGTTGCAATTCTCAAATTTTCCATTTGCGCTTACCTACTTGCTCTCAAATTCTCGAGAGTGTACTTGGGGTTCGTATGGGCGAGTATCATTATGGTATACACTTTCAACCTACTCATTCCGATAATGAGTGTGTTCTGTTACACGCCATTTGAAGCGAATTGGAACAAAGCCATGCCTGGAAAGTGTTTCCTTTCAACGGGGGCTACGGGACTATCATATACACAGGTGAGCATTTAGTTCTCCTAATCTCGGGACGTAATTGCTAATATCAATCAGGCGGCTTCAAACATCATAACAGACATCGTATATGTGCTTGCCCCTATACTCTATCTTTCTACAATTCAGCTATCTCGACGGACACAGTGGGGTTTGCGGGTGGTTTTTTGTTTGGGTTTGGTGTATGCTACTCACCCCAGATATTCGTTCAGCGCGCTGACATCTCGCTAGGGTGACGACTTGCTCGATCGTAAAGGCGACTACACTTCCCGCTCTCCTCAAAACCAGAGATCCGTCATGGGAAAGCACTGATCTGGTGATTTGGTCCGGAGTCGAACTCTCCGTAGGCATTCTTATCGCCGCCCTACCGCCACTACGAAAACAGTTCGATTCGCTATTCCGACGTGTCATGCCTTCCACTTTCCTCAACAGCAGACCTAGAACACGTGCGGCCAGCGGCACAATACCACTCTACGAAGTCACCATAGGTAGTAAAACGACTCGTCGGAAAACTCGTATAGAGGGGGATGGAGATGATGACGGAGATAGTGAACGGCGAATATTGGGAGTACATGGCAAAGGCGAGATCACGAAGACAGTAGTGCACGAGGTGAAAAGCGAGGACAGAGACAGTATACAGGAACCGGATCGGACTTTTGAGTATAAATGAAGCCGATATGAAGCTAGGCAGATTTGCGAAATCGATCCAGGCGCCTTGATGGCAGCGTAGCCTCCGTGCATACTGATCGAGCTCCTATCCTTCCATTGCATATCATTGCACGACCCACGATGTCAAGCACGGCGAATAATCTCATATGTACTACTCCAAATATGCAGTGAAAACTGTAAGCGCGTATGTCGCTGGCGCGCGTGTCTTTTCGTAGGCAGCTCCGATGATTGCCGCACTCTTTAACGCAAATGCCTTCTGATTCATCACGAGCTTTCTCAAAGATGAATAATTTGCTTCAGGAGCTCAGCGCTTATCAGACTTGATGAACTCCTTCGTGATACTCGAAGGCAACGCACGATTCAGGATATCTGTACGCTCCTGACGTCATCGACATCGATACCAACACCTTCTCTTTCTATCTTTGCCCGCAAATGGGGACCCGGGAATTTAGAATGCCGACTAAACGTAGGCGTATTATTCATTATCTGCTCGTATTTAGCGCACACGACTAATCACTTGGTCTTGTCGCGGTTGTCATTGGTATACCGGGTCACCGAGATACCGTACAGCAGGCCGCGGACGCCGACACGGCACGCCTAACAGTATGCCTCCAAGGTAACATAAAATAACTCAACATCGGCTATGATAATGCGACAACTTTTCATATCATATCAAGTCACTCGAAAGACCACCACTTAACCCCCATAACCTGTCATGACTTCTCCAGTTCTCGTTTTCGGCCCCACTGGAGGGGTGGGTGGCGCTGCTGCCATTGAAGCACATAGGCGCGGTGCCACAGTCTATCTCGCTATGCGGGACACGAAGAAAGAATTGAAGGGAATTGAAGGAGACGGAAACAACTACGTCCGCGTTCAAGCTGATTTAGCCAAGCCCGAGACGATCAAACACGCCGTCGAGACGTCCGGTGCAAAGACAGCCTTTGTGTATGTCGTACATGAGATCCAGGACGGCATGCGACGCAGCTTCGAAGCGCTGAAGGAGTCCGGTATAACATATGTTGTACTCTTGTCTTCGTTCAAGGTCGAAGATCCCCTAACCTCGGATACCAACAAGAAGGACAAGATAGCCGCTTTCCACGCTGCGGCTGAAGGCGCACTGAGAGAGACGGGCATCACATACACGGCCGTACGACCTGGGTGGTTCAACACCAACATATTTTGGAACCTTGGAGACATTGAAAAGGGCGAAGTCGAGCTCCTCTATCCCAACGTAGTGTATGACTACCTCGCCCCTTCAGACATCGGCACGGTGTGTGGTGCACTTCTCACAGTGCCACGTTTTGAGAAGGAAGCGGGGCAGTCGATCTATTTGTGCGGTCCAAAGATTATGAACCAACGTGAAGGCTTTGGTGTTGTTAGCAAAGCATTGGGGAAGGAGATCAAGATCAAAGAGATTGACGAGGATAGGTATTTCGAGAAGTTTGGCTACATTCCCAGGCCGATACTCGACACGCTGGTGCAGGGGATGAGAGAAAGCAACGCGGGAAGCGACGCTTATAGTAAGATCTATGAGAAAGCCGTGGAAAATGTGAGGAAGTACACAGAACGGGAGCCGACACAGTTTGAAGAGTGGGTGAAGGAGAACAAGGCGTCATTTGCGTAGTTTGGATGTTAGTATCAGTCGACAGGAATACTCAATGACGTGCATGGCCATGAACAGGGCTAAAAGCAAAGTGATGGGCGCGGGTGTCAGCTATTAGTCAGTCCGAAAATAGTATCGCGCGCGTGCCCTGCATGACCTTCCCGAGGCGAGTTGACGCAGGGATCTGAGATCATCACTTAACTGCTGAAACCTAACAAGCGCCAGCTAAACTCCGTCATTCACTGCCACGACACAAACCCCACAGTCTCCCTGTTCTTCTTGCTCAAACCACCGAGACCTGTCAACTGAGAAATCGAAACATTACTATCGCAACGTCTAAACCCACCGGACCGGCGCCATGGCAGCGACAGTCCAAGTATCGCCGCCAGCGCCTCCACTACCGACGAAACACGTACCAAACGATGCGCATACGCCGACTTGTCCTTCGTGTGGCAGCAGTATAGATATGACAGAGCTCCAAGACGCGAGGCAAAGGATAGACGAGCTCGAGGCACAAATGGAGCGCTTAAAGGAGAAGGCAACCGCAGCTGGTATGCTCCCGTGGGCGCTAGCCGTCACCAGGCCAAACTAACAACCCACAGTGGACAGGTGCGCCGACTACGAAGACCAGATACGCAGCCTCCAAGCGACCCCCCACAACGCCCCTAGGCTGCCCCGTACCCAAACCTCGCAATCCGACATCGTCAACGCAACGTCTCGCCCCTCCGTCGACGCCGATCCCCCACGTCCCACAACGTCAAGCTCCACAAAGGCCTCCCGCTTCTCTTTCATCACAAGCCGCTTCCCGTCGCCCGCCAATGCGACATCTATGCCTCCGCCTCCGCCACCCAAAGAAGCATCCAGCGCTCCGCCCGTCGACTACACACTGCTGAATGAGCTCGAGCGCGAGCGTGCCCTACGCGCCAAGGCCGAAGCACGCGTACAGACGGTGGATTCGGAGATTGAAGAGCTGAGCGTTCAGCTCTTCAGTCAGGCAAACGAAATGGTTGCCGAAGAGAGACGGGCGAGAGCCAAGTTGGAAGAGAGGGTTGAGACTTTGGAACGCAGGGATAGGGAGAAGATGGGAAGGCTGGATCGTCTGGAGAAGGCTGTCAGCAGGGTGGAGAGAGTCAAGGCGCTGCTGGGCGACAAGGAAGACATGAAGAGACAGACGATCGACAGCGGGTTGCTATCACCGCCGGCTAGGAGGTAAAAACATGTGCCTTTGGTGGTGGTGCCAGTGGTGTCGTCATTGTTGTTGTTGTTGCTGTTGCTGTTATTGTTGTTCTTCCGTGTCATTTGCCATGATACCCATTTAGTTTTATCCTCTGCAGTTTAGCATAGCGTTCGGCGTGGCTGCTATCATCCATGGTATATTTTAGCGTCTGGCGTTGGTATCGGTATCTGGATAGGAGGAAGATTCTCTGACTCATGACCAATAATATCAGCTTGTTCTGGTTGTGGCATTAACCACTATAAGCCTAATATGATTTTGGTGGGCTCCGGTTCAGGACGTCGTAGTTTGGTCCACATGCTCTTGGTTCATATGAACATCGCATCTCTGGTCCGCCATACCTAGATTACTCGCAGCCTGAAACATGACATTGATTGGCAAACCTCTTTGGCTGACGTTGGACAGCATGCCTACTTCGTTGTAGCTTGCTACTATAGTTCTCATGATGTATACTGTGTCGCGTCTTAAAATGCCGACAACGACGCGCTGAACATGATTATGAGGACGTGAAAAGCGCAAGACTGAACAGTTCCGGGCGAGGCAGTATCATAATACCACGTTCAATAATCTGTTTGGGGTGCTATATGAGTTTATTGGGTACACACAATGCGTATCGGTGAACCAGCATCGAGGTCTTCGCTACCTAGGTATGCTCCTTCTGGCGTTTTTAGTGAGGATTGAGTAATGAGAAATGTTCTTACTTGCTGAGGTATACGGTTCTGGTTTTGCGCTTCAAGCCGACTGAGAAAGGTGGAGTTTTGGCTAGTTGTTTTCCCTTTTGCTACACCCGCACCTTGGTAGTCATGATTATGCGGTGGTTCGTCGCGTCGTCGGCCCCGTTTGTTCCTAAACTTGTTATCATCATGTTGAGAAGACTCATCAAGTGTTGTAGAGACCTACGGGGGCTTTCGTCGTATAAATTGAACCAGGTTCCCTCCTCTCCTTCTCTTTCCTTTCTTCAATAAATACCAATCTTACTCACACCAAGTCTAATATTGAATTTTCTTTGATACACCACCGAAAGCCCCAACACAACGACAACAACAACAACCACTACACATTCTTCATCACAAACACAAGAATAAAGTCAAGCACTTCACGTTCCGCCTTCGAGTAAGCTATACTAAGCCACTCGCAAACATCAAGCACATCCTGGTAGCCATCAAAATGGTTGCTAGATACCAAAAGATCAAGTATCCCAATCCTGGAGAAAGACAACATGGAGAATCTATGGCTGCACAACGGGACCTTCAAATTCGCAAGAAGAAGGACGAGGCCTACTCAAACCTGATCTGGGATTTTTGGCCAAACCAGCCCCCAGTTGGGGTCTACCGCAACCTTCGTGGAGACTTGCTGAAGATCGTCCAAATCGATACTGGTTTCATGCGTGAAGATTCGCCTGATCTCCAGGAGCAGCTGGAACCTGGCCACCTTTGGTTGCCAGCGGTAGTCTCTGGGCTCCCTGGAACGCAGTTTAACGAGGAGAGGGAATATTTCTTCGATGAGTTCAAATATATCTTGGTGGAGCCTTTGGAGATTGGTTTTAACAAGGTAGCGATAAATGGTGTGGTAGTGTACCAGCGTAAGCAGATACGCGTTGCTATGAACGCCGAAAAAAAGACCGTCTGGGAAGCCGTTGAGACGGATCAAATTGATCCGTCTCAAAAATGTTTCTTCGGGGCGCCAGATGGAGACCCCCAGGTAAATCCTACTTCGACTCTCCGGCCAAGTCGTACACCGAGTTCCGATTCTGCTGTCAGTCTACCCGTCACTCCTCCGTAGCAGCTCGATACCGTCAGGATGGTATCACCCTTTTTGTATCACCTTCCCGACCACCCTGCCTTAGGCGCTTCCGTCAGTGATAGCTTCAAGTCCTCATTCGACAACGATATCGCTGCCCTTAGCTTCAACGACGGCTTCCAGCATGAGCTTCACGACGACAAGTCCCACAACATGCCTGCCTACGCGAACAATAGTCCGTACAACAACTACGTACCTGCTCAGGGTTGTGGGCCGAATTGAGTTTTAGCAGCGAGGGTTGTCAGGCATAGGTTTCCTGTTCGCATGGATTCTACTAGTCAGGTTTCTTTTAGGCAATGTTCTTCGACTTGTATGCTACTTCTTAATAAACATATCATCCCAAATATAGTCAGCTTGTTCCACGCGTAATCTTTGGTGTGTTTACTTATCCTTGGAGTCTAACTACCCGTTGCGGGCGACTAATATCTCCAAAGACACAGTAGCCGATCATAGAAGCTCGTAGATATGAACGTCCGTTGGCCTTGACTGTTAAGGTCTGGTTGAGAGTCGCTGCCATAGTTCATGCTCTCATGCTCCTCGAACTTGGCCAGCACTTCAATTTGCCAATCCTTGGAAGCGCTCTTGGTAAGCCTTACGATCCTGGTGCCAGCATGCATACAACTGACAAGCAGTAGGATAGCCTCTGGCGGTGGCTCTGATCTCCACTTCTCTACGCCGTGATGCGCTGGCAGCTTGGGGTTTCGGTCCAACAGCTTTAGCCGCCATACGCCACCACCGAGATTGGCTTCCGCAAGAACCTGACGACGGCCAGAGATGGGTACATGAAGAAGCCGGATATGATCGTCGTAGCTGCCGGTCACTATCAAGCCACCCTCACTATCAAGATGCACTGGGAGGATAGCAGTGACGCCAGCATCATGTATCTTCCCATCCATCCAAGGTACGCTTCCTCCAGAACCATCCGACAGCTCAGCAAAACGAAGGGCGCTGTCGTCTCCGCCAGACAGCAGGCCCGAGCCATCTGGTAGGAAAGCAAGAGTCCAGGCTTCTAGGTCATGTGAAGCGACCTCCATCTTCGTCGGCGCATCAGATTCGTCTTCCGTATCTATTACGCCGAGACACACCTGCCCATTCGAAAGCGTCATACCGACCATGAAGGATTCCGGGTGCCAGGTAAAAGCGGTGATGAGAATATTTTCCGGAAAGTATTGGATGGTCTTGATGTGGGCGATCTTGGGGTCTCGCTGCCATGACTGGAGCTCATAGATGGCAAAAGCCCCCGTGGATGTGGCAACACCAAAGTTGGAGCTAGTAACATGCGTCAAGAAATGGATGTCCAGGATAGCTGATGGCGTAGATAGGGTTTGGATGATGTTACTGCTCGACGTCAGTACCGAGTTTGACCGCGTCCAAGCTGCTACATTGAACTTGCAGGCTGTCTCACGTACACGATGTCACCATCAACTTGTACCAATATCAGACTGCCATTACGCTGCTGATTTTTGGCGCTCACTTTTCCATCGTGCGGAGCACTACCCGCAGATTCCTTCTCATCCTCTTTTTCGAGGTTGTACGTGCCGACTATCGCATATTGAGGATTTAGCGGGAAGAACTCAATACAACTAGGAGGCAAGTCAAGCTTGAAAGACGTAAGCGATTTTATCGAAGACATGTTGCTGAGGATGGTGTGCGATAATTTGCCCGCCTCTCGTTTCGGTTAGTGGGACCAATGACTAAGCGCGGTGACGCAACCTTGGGACATTCTCAACTTGCACCTTCCTTCCTAAACGCTCAACGCTGCTTTTCACATATCGTCATGGTTTCGGGCGCATACGAATTTGATAAAATGCCCACGAATCATGCTCAAAATCTGTCGAAGATATCGACGCCGTCAGGTTGATGCCTTGCTAACCCTGACTTCGCCGTATCGTTGCCTAAGCTAATCCCAAAGCGTACAACAGCTGACCACGCGACATTCATCGCTGAGATCTATTAAAGAAGGCCAAACACGCGTCTTGTCGTGTCTCACTACTACCATACGCGTTCTGTTCCCTTCCGAAACTTCAAAATTCCGACTCAAGTGCAATTGACTTAAGAACGATCCACAATGACCGATATCAACGCCCCAGTAGAGACATTTGCGTCTGGACGCTACTCGAAGCGCAAGAGAACCCAGGTCACATACCATCTCGATGATCTAGACTATTCAGAGTCCGAATCCGACTTTGACACACCACAGGCAAAGGTTCGATGTACTTCTGTGTGGACGGGAAGTGGGAAGACTGACGAGCGTCCATCAGAAGCGAACAACCAAGGCAAGCTCCAGACCACTTCCCAGACGCAAAATCTTCCCCTTCATGGAGCTTCCTGCAGAGATTAGGAACATAATCTATGAGTACACTCTTACCGATCCTGCTGGTATCAACCTTGTCGGCACGTTCAAGCACAAGCGCCGTACTGTCGAACGCATCTCAGCCAAGTGCCAGGCGAGCATATCACACGACAGACCTTGGTCAGGCGCACTTCCTATAAACGACAACATTAGAAGTCAACACGAACAACCGGTCGCTCTTGTCCCGTCGCTCCTTGCTGTGAGCAAGCAAATCCACCAAGAGTGTATCGATATTCTGTACGGCAAGAACGAATTCGTCTTCACCAACAGCTTCGCCTTGTACAGCTTCTTGATCAACCTTGGTCCTAGAGGCGCCAAACATCTTAAGACTCTCCGCATTCGAGGTTGGCTTTATGGCCGTGCAATGAAAGGATACAATCACTCCTGTTAGTACTTTTCTCGTGCCCACTGCATGTGGGATACATGCTGACCTCGTACTCCAATATCTAGGTTTCGCGGCCCTGGTCTGGGCTACCAATATCACCGCCTTCCATATTGATGCGAGCATCGGTTGGTATCGAGCGTCCAAGTATGGAGCTGAGCAACTCTACCGGGACGCATTCCCATGGATGGAAGCTGTTGGTTTAGCACAAGGCAAAGTCGATGCTGTAGTCGATATCATAAAGTTCAGCGAGGATCATTTCGACGTCCTTCAAAGTTCTTATCGTCATTCATCTAGCTCAATGTCCAACGAACAGAAGCATCAAGAATTTAGGGCAGCATTGAGGAAGTCTCTTGGTGCGCAACAGAAGCGGATTATGGCGCCTACGGTCAAGAAGATGAAAGCCGCCAAAAAAACGGTGGCAGATGAGCAGTGAGTTTTTAGGAAGAGATGATGATGGAGCATGCCTGACGACTTCATGAAGATCAGGAATGATATCGGACAATTGGTGGGATAATTGGTGGGACAATTGGTGGGATAATTAGTGGGGTAGGGAGACAAGGTAGGGGCAGACGGAGACGGCGCAGAGCTTAACAGGTTCTATCATGAGCTTGTAGTTAGACATGTATCTGGCACATGCTTGAAGTCCTGACTATCACGTTTACCAAGTGATGAATGAGTAGGAGCCCGAACATGGAGTCAAGTCTCGTTGAAATATAGGAAGCCCTCCCAATCCAACTCACCAGCTCTTACAAATCACATCTCATTATTATGTACACAAACCAGCGGTACATTGGGTATTAAGGCGTCTACCACCAGACATGTACACATTCCCATCATTCAACGTGAGCCTCGTAAAGCCATGACATGCCGACATTAAATCCACCAGTCATCATGGTATCCAATGAGCACTGAAATGCAGAGCGTGACAAACGTCCTTCATTTCAACACCAACCTCGCCAGCATAACCCTCAAAGCCTCCGCGCCCTCTCTCCCCTCCTGTCCCAGCTCTCTCTCAATAACCTTAACATGCTCATCCGTCTTACTCCTCAGCTCCTCAATAACACCCTTGCTATACTCGAAGCTCCCTTTACTCTCCATATACCTCAACGCGTACCGCTTGACCTCCTCGTCTGTAGTTTTCTGCTTGAGTATATTGATGAGGATCTGGTTGCTTGGATCGGCGCGTATGGCATGGATGACAGGGAAGCTGAATTTGCCTTCTGTGAGGTCTTCGCAGAGGCCCTTGAGAGTTGTGTAGCCGGATGTGGGGGAGAGGTTTAGATGATCGTCTAGGATTTGGAAGAGGAGGCCTATCGTTGATACGAGGGGTGTGCAGTCACTGAAAGATAGGTTAGTTGAGGTGTGGATTGGATTGGGAAAGGACAAGGTACATGTCTGTTTTCGACTCGGCTTGCATGAGCTTAATCGCTAATCGGAATAAGCCGCCGGTCTTGTTTCCGACCATCTCTAGGTAATCTGCCTCACTTGGACAGGTCAGGCTATCTCTCCAGTATAGGTCCATACCCTGTCCGCGGTGCAGGTTCAAAAGCTCTTCGGTGAATATCTCGATGAGTTTCGGGTTGTTCATGGAGAGCAGAAGGGACAGGGCGCGGAAGTAGACGTAGTTTGCCGAGTTGATTGTTTGTGGGGTTCCGAAGATGGAGTGAGCGACCGGGATACCGCGGCGGAGGAGAGAGGAGTCTTCTACATCGTCGACACTAGGCGACGTTAGTTGGGGTGGGGTGAGCGTAGAGAATGTATGCCTACAGTAAACTCGCGGTATGTAGCATGCCCACTACTTTTGTGATGATCTCCAGTCTTTCTGATGGCACTTTCAGCCACAGGTTGAAGGCCGCAATACACTGACTCCGTATATCCTTGCCGGGATGCCCATACAGGTAGTCGTACGGCCCCAGTAATATGCGCTCCTTGGCTTCTGTCCACGCGACGCCATTCCCGTAGATGAGCTCCTCGCCTATGTCCTTTGCGTGTTCTGATGGTGGAGAGAGTGGCGTCGGGTAGTTTGTGGTGGCTTCGAGGCTGACGGCTGCTTGGGCATTGTCCATGGGCGAATCCATGTCTGTGTGCTCGGTGCGGGGAGGCGAGTTCAGCTGCGAGACCATGGTCTGGGGCCAGGGATGTTGTAACGACTGTGGTTGGAAAGGCGCATTCAAAGGGTCTGCAGAGTGGCTCGTCTTGCTTTTCTTGCTCTGGCCCAACCAATCAATCTCGCTCAGGGGACGCAGGACGCTGGTTCTGGAAGGTTGCTTGGCGGCACCCGTGTTCGCGTTCAAGTTGAGGATGCCCGTGGAGCTTGTGCGGGGCGGGATGGCGTTGGGCGAGGCGAAAGGGTGGTTTGGGGAAGTGGCCGGCATGGTGGAGGGAAGCGCGGAGGTGCCGGGCAGTGTTTATAGAAGGCGCACACCGATGCGCAGCCCTCCTCTTTCTTGGTTGACGTGCCTGGCGGGCACACGGCGCCGAGGC